ATTTCATTTATCAGAAAAATATTTTTACAACCCATTATATACTATAGATAATATATAATGTGCAGAGAGAGAGGGAGAGAGAGCATGATCATCTTACACCGGTGTAAGAATAATAAGTCTTACACCAAATCTTAATCATTGATTTTTTTGCATATAACGGTTAAGATTTATTAAGTCTCACTCCTTAATTAATTTTTAATTTTCAATAAATCTCAACCGTTAAATGCACGGAAATCAACAGTTAAGATTTGGTGTAAGATTTATTATTCTTACATCGGTATAAGTTGATCCTATCCCATATATATATATATATATATTAGCAGGTCATTTATGTGGCAGACACTTATTTTCTCTCACAGCTTGAGAAATTTAAAATCATCCATTTATATGTTATTAGCTTAGTTCATTCTTATCAATGTAGGATGTTATTACTTAAGTGTGAGTTCTATAATTTGTCCGCTCCCCTTTAAGTGGAAATTTCTTTGAACATTCATAAGGTTACTGACCATCTTCTCTGCATATTTGACCCAATCAATTACTTAGAAACACATATAAGTCTAATCATTAGCTGTGATACCACTTTCTATTAGATGGTGAATCAAAACAAGGGAGATCAACAAGAATATACTAAGCAAGAAACCAACAAATAATAAATTGAATTGATATCATATCTCAACACAAAACCTTAAAACATTAAATTTATAAGTCATTTAACTTATATATTACTTGTGTAAGCCCCTTCCTATCCAATAGAAAGATTTTATCACTTACAATTAAATTCTCAACAATAATCATATTACTTGTTTGCATTATTTTCGGCCACTATATTTATGTTTATTACCTCTATGTATCCAGTTACCCACAATCAAACTATAATAAGTCACTTGTTTGCATTTTTCTAGCCACTATATTTTTACATTTTTTACCTCATCAGTATTGAATTTATGTATGTACTACGTACCGTGTTATTAGGGAGGAAAAACTAATTTTCATGTAAAAAAAAATCTACATTTTTACGTGGCCAAATTGACTTGGCATGGACAATTTCCTATCAGCAGTTGGCAGATAATGCAGATATATCATATCCACTAATTAGTTAGATGCTAAAGATCAGTCACTCAACAATATCACAATAATAAATTGCTGTCAATGTCTGTAAATTAAGACCCCTTTTCCCTCTTTCAAAAGAAAAGGAATATTTTCAATGGTACGGTAATATTCATTTTTTAATTTGGTCTTAGAAAAATGTTTCATGTCTTCCAATAATGGTTACTTAAAATGTAAAGGTGGAAACAAAAAGTTTTGTCAATAGAGAGGTTCCGTGTCATTAATTTAGTACATTTCGCCAAGAATATATATGCATCAAGAATTCATCTTAAAATTTGTATTTGTATATGTCAAATAATGATATTTGAGTACCTAAAAGATGATATAATATATTTTGCTTACCTTAAATAAAATTCAAATCACCTCTTCCCTTCTTTATTTCTCCAATTCAAAATTGACACTTGAGAAGAAAATTTTTCTTCCTTTTAAATGCCATTATTCTTTTAGTTTTAAATTCTTTTGCTGAGGTGTAATTTTTTTAATTAGAAGTACTGTAAAGAAAGATAAATTATTTGATTCGGGTTCTATGATGAACTCAGAGCAGATAAAAGCTGGAGTCTGTGATTGGTTAAAATAATAATTTTGTGGCTTGATAAACAATTTTTTTTTAAAAAAAAAAAACTGTATGCACTATCAATGGTAAAGTTAGAGAGGACGGTTACCCCTTTAAATTTATATAAGCTTTAGTTGTGAGCATCATTGTTATTATTTTTGGTCATATAAACGATAATTCACTACACCAAAAAGCAGGATTTAGCGGCGGTTCAAACTGCCACTAAAAAATCCAGTGGCCAATTAAAAACCGACTCAAGAAATGCTGACGTTAAATAATTTAGCGACGGTTTGCAGAAACCGTTGGAATAACTGACGCGAAAAACAAACCGACGTTGAATGCATAGGAACCGCCTTCATTTGTAAGGGTGATAAACGAGTCAAGGGCCTTTCAGGGGCCTTTGGCTCGGCTCGTGGAGGCCTGAGCTTATATGTCTAATATTGGTTGTTAGAACCAGGCTTGGACTTGTATAAAAGCTCGTTTAGTAAAAAGGTCTCATGCTCCAATTCAAAAGCTCGGCCTTGGAGCCTCTCAGGCTGGCCTAGTATATTAATTTATATTTATATTTATATTTTTTATACTATTTGTAATAGCTCTCTCTCTCCTCTCAATATATTTCACCCCTATTTTATTAGTTAAACAGACTTTTTGAATTATTTTGTTCTATATTATGTTGTTTGGATATATATTGAATTTATGAATATTTATGGAATTACTAGTGTTGTTGATTGTATATTCTGTTTGGATAAATTTTTGTTGTCTTATTTTTTCTAACAGGCTAAATCAGACTTTTATTTTTTGTAAATAAGGCAGGCCACATGCCGATAATTATATTCGTAACAGGTAACAAGTTTGGTAAGGCCGACACATTTAAACACAAGCTTAGCCTTTTAAGACCAAAGCTCGGCTTGGCTCGGCCCGTTAACACTCCTATTCATTTGTTAGAAAAAAATAAATAATTTTTAATTATAGCGACGGTTTTGAACTACCGCTAAATCATGTAATTATTATTTTTTTTAAATCAAATTTTTTTGGTGGTTTCAATGAATATAATTTTTCTTTTTATAAACATTAATATTTTAAACAGCCACTTAATTGTAAAATTTATTTAAATTATTTAATTTGACTCAAACTTTTGCAATGATTTTATTGATCATAAATATATTCAGTGTTTATAAAAACCTGTCATTGTAACGTTAAATATATAAAAGAAAACTAAATACAATTATAAAATCAATTTGAAAAGTCTAACATTAAAAATTATAGTGAATACTGCATTGGAAAAAAAAAAAATAATGAAGTGTAAGTTGATAACTGCAAAAAAGGAAATGCATAGTTGTGGAGCATTTCTCAAGTCTCCAAAATCCACCTTTTTTTTAACAATAACCAAAATCCATTTCTCAAGTCTCATGCAAGTAAATTATAGAAAATCAAAATGGTTCCTAACTTTATAATCAATTAAGATATGAAATATATACAAATTATACAACACGAGCTTACAATTCGAGCAGCAAAAACATTGCATAGTTGTGGAGCCTGGTATATTGAACCATCCAAGATGTAATATGCAAGCATTGGTGTAACTTTGTCAGGACTATCTCTCTTTTGTTTGCGAATAACAAAAAGGTGAGGCTCCATAACTTCACCGAGAATATACTTTGTGCCAGTCATTTTCCTAAAGAGCATAATCATAATCACAACCAACTACTTCAATTCAAAGTAGTCATAATAATAACACTGAATTCAATTTCTTCTTAACCTAATTCAAACAGATTTAATGGAACCCAATCATATATGAGCATCGGGTCGTTATTGAAACTAAATTTATAATAAATGAAATAAATAATAACAAATGATAACTATATTTATTATTAAACAACAAATAATAGCAAATGGGATAACTATAAAAAAAATAAAAATAAATGACAAAACTAATAAAATAACTAATAATAAATAGAGCAACAAAAATAAAATAACACACAATATAAACATTTACTATTAGAAAAAATTAAATTAATTTAAATTACTGACTTGAATATTAAGAGAGAAAAAGGGTCTCTGAACCGGTTGTGAAAAATATTAAAACTGTTAGAGGGAATGAGAACTGTGAGAAAAAAGAAAAGGGAAAGGAGATATTTATAGGGGGGAGCTACGGTGGACTTAAAAAATACAGAAGCTTCCTTATGTTATGTGTATTTTAAATTTGATACTACACATATATCCATTTCCCTCATTTCATACTTTGGGATCAAATATTATAACAAAAGCGATCTTGTATGGCATCCTGAATCATATTTGATAGTTTTTGTTATAATATTTGATCTCAAGTATGAAACGGGGGAAAAGGAATTTTGATCCCTTATGTTGAAATAAAGAATAAAAATATGGGTAAAAGGCAGTTAGGTTCTAATTTACAAGAATTGAATCTCTCGACATTTTTATTGCCTAAATAGAAACTAATATTTGTTCAAAATAGTGCACCTAATTCATTCAGAGTGCCTCTTAGATGAGAATATAGTTTACCTCCTGACAACATATCATCAAGCCAAGTGTATTTTTTGTAACCACTTCACTATATGCACAGAAAAAAGAATTTCAAAGAATGGAAAAAAATATATGACATTTACTGTGAAATAAGAATCAACAACTATTTTCTTTGGATGAGCTACCTAGATGTGACAAGCCAAAAAGGCTTGACTCAAATTATAATTCTATTGGATTGATAACTTTATATAATTTATACAGTAAAAGAAAAATCTCACCCCACGCCAGATAACTTCCTCCACAGTAGCCTCTGACTTGCAAATAATTGCTTATATCTTTTAGTTTTATGATCTTCGTCAATACACAGTGAATAGCTAGAACTTCTATCAAAGTTTCAGGAAAGTCATAGATGCAAATTATTTCTTATGCCTTAACTTCCATATAATACTCCAAACTTAAACATTTAATTGATTAATTTAATTATTAATTAAATAATTCAGCATGTCTTAGTGAGTAAAATTAAGTATAAGGCTTAATTAAATGAATCTGAGTCACTTTGGAGTTAAAAAGTGTACTCAGAGAAAATTAAGGGGTATAAATGGGTGTAGGCAAAAGTACCCAAAATATAAAAATAAAATTAGAAACATTCCTAGAAAAATATTCCAGACTGTTGGGTAAAGTTTGGTAATTAATGGAGTCGAATAGATAGATGAACCAATACCCATTAGATATCACTTAACCAAGTTAAGTGACATAAAACAAAAGAAAACCCTTGTTCCCCCCCCATTTCAGTCGACGCCCAGAAAGAAGAGAAGAGAAGAAGAAGGAGAGGAAGAGAGGGAGAGAGAGAAAGAAAACCTAGGTTGTGTGATTTTCAACCGATTGGAGCGATTCAAAAGCCTAAATCACTTAGAATCTTCCCCTCTTTCATAATCCTAGCTTGCTTTTGAGTGGGAGTCCTTGTGGAGAGAGATATTGGCCCCCAAAGATTCGCCCCTTTTGAGAAGTGTGGGGTTTTGGGAGTTTCTACCTCCATGGAAGCTTGAGGAACACTCATTCCTCTATTGTGTGATCATTGGTGGTAAGTTTCCACTCTCTTTCACATGATTCTTGGAGATTTGCATGAGTTTAGGGTTAATGAATAGTGTTTTAGGGTTTTTATGAAATGTTGAGTAGATTGGCTATGTTCAAGGAAGAATGAGGCTTAGAGTATATTGTGAAAAATGCTAGGAATGACATTTAATCGGTAGAAATGAGTTTATAGTGTTATTTTAGTATGCTTTGATGTTTGGAGAAATCTAGGCTTGGAACTATGGATTTCCTTGCATTGTTAGCATTGTTTGATTGTATTCCTTGTGTTGATAGGATTGAGGCAAGAGGACCAAGTGGAGTGACCAACCCTTGGGGTTGTGTGCAATTGAGGAAAGCTCAAAGAGCAAGGTAAACCTTTGGACCTTGGGGTTGATCCCATTGAGTGTTCCACCTTACTCCGTTGAGGAGAAATGGTTTATGAGATGTGATATGTAATTATGATAGTAATTGTATGCTCATGCATTGATTCATGCATTGATACATGTTATGATTGATTGATGATTATTGGTTGATGTTTGATTGTTTAAGAGTAATTGAGGAATGGTTATAGAAGTAGCAATAATGAATGAGGTAAGGGTTGAGGATTGTGATTGAGGTTATGAGTGATAGTATTATGATGAGGATAATTGGTAGGAACTTCCCTTGGAAACAGCCCTATGTGGATCTCTATGTGGTTAGAGCCTAAGAGGAACAGCCCTATGTGGATCCCTCTTGGAGGTTCCTAGATTGAGGAAAGGACTTCCCTTGGAAACAGCCCTAGGTGGATCTCCATGTGGTAAGAGCCTAAGAGAAACAGCCCTTTGAGGATCTCTCTTGGAATAGATTGAGGAAAGGACTTCCCTTGGAAACAGCCCTATGTGGATCTCCATGTGGTAAGAGCCTAAGAGAAACAACCCTTAGTGGATCTCTCTTGGAAGTCCATGTGATGCTTGTGGATAAGAATGTGTTAAGCTATTATGATTATGTGTACATCGAAGTGGACCTTAGGGTGGAGTGATCTCCAAGGACCTCTGGTTTACTGTGGTATATTCGTATATCTCACCCCGTGTTGTGGGGCATCATTTCAGGTACTGATAGAGGTGAGGTTGATCGAGGCAAGAAGCATGAGTAGACTGTACCTGATAGCTGGACATGTTGAGTTGCATGCCATTTAGCATTGCTATATGTATATTTTGATGCCACATGATGTATTTTGGAGGACTTAGTGCATGATCATTGTAGTAGTAATGGGTATCTGATACATGGTTACTTGCTTTGATCATGTTCATTTTGTAGCTAAGTCCTTTGGCATGTATATGAGATTTGTAGTTAAGACATGATGTAATATTGTAAGTAATGAAGATATTTGTGTATGATGCTTACTGTAAGTTAAATGCATGAATGTATTTTTATGTATTGGATATGTTGAGCTGGAAAGTCAATTAGGTACCTTGTGCTAAGTTGGGAAACGTTGAGAAAACAAAGGTTATGCTGCCCAATTTCTGTTAAATCAATGATGAGAGGATGAGAGTTAAGCAATGATATAAGGATATCGCAAGCTTGTTAAATAGGTTGTAAAATGTGTAAGATTGATTCCCCAAGAAAGATACATGAAAAATATGAGTATAGGAAATTGCCCAGAAGAGGGGGCTTAAGCCTGCAAATGGAGGCTTAAGCCTGCTCAGGGGGCTTAAGCGCCCATGAGGGGGCTTAAGCGCCCTGATGCACCTGTGAAGACCAAAAGCTTTCTGCCGCCTGGGGCTTTAGCGCCCAAAATGGGGGCTTAAGCGCCCGGGTAGCGCGCTTAAGCGCCATGGAGCGAGCTTAAGCGCCCTTGGTGGCTAAAAAATGTAAATTCCCTCTGTCTGTGGGCGCTTAAGCGCCCTGCCCGCGTAGTTTTTCAGCATACACCTGAGTTAGTAAAATTGTCATAACTTGAGCTACAGAGCTCCAAATGAGGAGCGGTTTGAAACCACGCGTAGCTAACGAAGAAATCTACAATATAGTAGAAGTTGGGAAATAAATAAGAAGTAAATTAATGGTTTAAAAATGGAATAAGAACATGATGTTAAGCTTGGTTTATCTGATTCCGCAAAGTAATATGGTTATGATCACGCAATTGGGCATTATAAATTCGGCATGTTTTAAAATGAAAAATTTAACCGGATTTTAATTGAACCCATGTGATTGTAACTGCGCTTAATATCATAATGCGATGTTAACAAACCGGTTCTAGAACGGGGTGTTACATTCCAGTTCTTTGATCCAACTTAAGGGCAAAACACATCTCAAATCAAGGTGACTATCACTACAACCACATAGCTTGTTTGAGCATAGCATGTGTAACACCCCGTTACCGGATCGGTGTGTTATTGCCAATTATGATATTAAGCGCAGTCACAATCACAATAGTTATTTGAAATTACGGAAAAACTTTTTCTTTTTAATAACGTTTGCACTTTTAAATAATCGTATCAGACAATATACTGACTGTGATCACAACCCAAAACTTATAGCGGAATTATGAATACACTAGCTTAATACCAAACAGTTTACATTTGAAGGTGGCTGAGTGGTTCCCATAAACCAACAAAGCTTAAAACTTATCCTATCCATGTTTAACACTAAATATCTTCGCCTTTTTATTTACTCTAACAGTTTTCATACTTCTCAAATACTTGTCATTCATTATTATGTTATAGGTTTCTTCGTTAGCTACGCGTGGGTTCAAACTGCGCTCAATTTGGAGCACCGTAGCTCAAGTTATGAATTTTCTAAGAACGTGATGCTGAACCCGCAGATTCCGGCGCGAATAGCGCCACGAAACAGACAATTTCCAGAATTTCGGCGCGATCAGTGCCAGGATTACGTCTCTTCTCTGTATTTTGGCACGATTAGCGCCACCACGGCGCTAATAGTGCCAGGGGTCTGGAGATAGACACCAAAATAGGACAATTTGACCTACTTTTGTATTTTACCCATAACTTGAGTTATACTAATCCAATTTACACAATCTTGATCTCATTGGAAAGCTAAAAGAAAGATCTATGACTTCCAAGAAGGCCAAGGGGTCCAATTCTATCAAATGGGATATGAAAATTGGGCAGCACCCTGTTTATATTTTCAATAATTACCAATTCTCCAATCATGTACCTAATTAATTATCATTACCTTAATCATTTGACCATTTCATAGCTCAACACATTCATTATCAAAATTATTTTTATTACACACATATGAACTGATCCAGGCCAGACGGACGGCGACGCGCGCGCGTGGAACAAAGCCCACCTAGCTCCTCCCCTACATAAAATATGTAGTGACCCAAGGGCCAATCTAGGAGAGTGAGGTGGGAGCTTATATACTCTCCCACTTCCTACTTATTGTCCAATGTGGGACTTGTTAAAATCCCACACACCTCTTCATCTTCTTTTTTCTCTTTTCTTTATTAACTCACTTCTTATTCATAACCAATGGATCATTGTACATTAATTCTTTCATTAATTCCAACAGAGGTTTATGTCCTGGTGTCAATACATTGATCAGAGAAATAGTTTGCTGCTTATACTATATGTATGGGGTGCACAAAGTCCTTGGAATAGAGGTATCTTTTATGTACCACTTAGTAATCACTTAATGTTCCTTCTTTGTTTCTAAGTATTTGTAAAAAAAATTATGAACATTAGATATTTGGTAAAACATAAAAGTACAGTGTTCTTTTCCCCCCCTTCAATTGTATGCAGGGTGGATATAGAGGTTTTTATTCTCGAAATACAATTCCATTAACACCAAAGGTTGTCAATGACATCCATAAACGTGGTGGAACTATCCTTGGAACATCAAGAGGAGGCTATGACACCTCAAAGATTGTTGATAGCATTCAAGATCGGGGAATTAATCAGGTTTACATAGTTGGAGGAGATGGAACTCAGAGAGGGGCTTCTGTGATTTTTGAGGTGATTAATTTATGATGTTGTTCAAGTCATGTTATGTAGTTTGCAGAAATTTGAATTTTGTTATGTCTACAATTCCTGATTAACTGGATGAGAACATGTTTTAAATGTGTTTCTTGAAATAATAATCTTTTTCTAGTTAAAGCTATAGTTATAAGGTTTAGTTATTTACACACAGGAAATTAGAAGACGTGGCTTGAAAGTTTCAGTGGTAGGAATTCCAAAAGCTGTTGATAATGATATCCCAGTAAGCATTCTTGAATTGTACATTTGAAGTCCTGCACTTAGAAGCTATTTTGCTCAGAAGAAAATAGATTTGTTTAAACTGTCACCTAGTTAATGCCATGCTGTACCTGAATTAGGTTATTGATAAGTCATTTGGTTTTGACACGGCTGTTGAAGAGGCACAACGAGCTATAAATGCAGCTCATGTGGAAGCAGAAAGCATTGAGAATGGAATTGGTGTTGTCAAGTTAATGTGTCGTTTCAGTGGTAAGTATCATTCATTCTTGTGGTAATTAACAAGTTTAGCATGATGGTATCAGTATAGAGTCAAAGATCTGAGGGGGTGTTTGGTAAGGGAGTTTTGATTTGTTACCTGGCAAAGTGCATATGGGATTCAAAGAAAGCTGCGTTTGGTAGGGGTTTTGAAAATATTTGCCTAGTCTAATTTGCATGGGAAAGTCACATTGTGTGTAAAATTGAGAGCAAATCACCACTTGAGAATACCACCCAGAGGGTAATATTCTGATTTGCATGGAATGTTTGGTATCAACCGGAAACGATGCATATAAACCAATTATCCAAGCATTCATTTTATTTTTTGGGCTATTTTTCAAATGTGCGACTAAATCCTTCTGCAGTAAGGAGTCAAATGCTGCAAAGGTCATTTCTAATTGAAAATGGTATGAAAAAGCTTGATACAATAGTTCCCATTATCCCTTTAATTAGATCATTGGCGAAAGCTAAATTTTGTAATGGATTGGGGCATCCCATTAGTGGAAAGATTACTTGCAAGCTGCTGTAATGCTTGATTATAGTGAGAAAATCCCTATTCATAATTCTTTCTCAATTTCTTTTTTGTAGTTATTCTGTTGTCATCTTTGGTCATTTTCATACCAAATCATGAGACACATCCTTCCCAGACATATTTGGTGACTGAAAGGTCTGGCTTTAGTTATTTCAGGGCCATCCACATTGACAAACATAAACACTTATCCTTTAGTGATCTTGCCAGATTGTTCCCTCATGATTTGCAACATCTTCCTTCTAGAATATCAGTAATTGTTCTATTTTGGTTCATAGAAGTAACATCAGATCTTTGGTCTACATGATGGGTAGCATTGTCCTTTCTCCTATACCACCTTCCATGATAAAATCAAGCTCACTTTAGAGGAACCTTATCCAAGCAATATTTATTACGAGCGTTATCAATGGAATCAGCTAACACTGAATCATTTCTTGATCTTAGCATTCCTCTTTCTATGAATAACCTGGATTCTTCTGGCAACAAGTTACTTCAAGATGTTGGTCTGTGGTTATCCGAGAAGATTAAGGTATAAACTGATGGGCCTCTCAAGCCATATGTCCAAGTGTACAGTCGAAAGGCCCATAGGAGGAAGGGTATGGACACATCACAGTTAGTTACTGATGGGGACACATGGCGAGCGATGAATGGAGAGGAAGATATTGGAGAAATGGGAAAAAAGGTGAGGGCAGTATAAGTTGGTTACGGGAAAGGAGAGAAGGCAGAAAAGATTATTGTCATTATGTGGGTGAGAGCACTGAGAAGGTATATGCCTCGGTTGCTGTAAGGGATAGGTGGGAGTGTAATCTTCTTTTATAATCGGCCAGTCCATTGTTAGGAAGTGGCCTTAACCTTTACTGCATTGTTAATTTGTTGTCATGAATCTGAGGGTAGACACGATGGTGTATGCCTCAGTCTGATTATAATAAAAGTTGTTATTCATCTTCTTCTTGTTATTTCTTTGCAATTATCCAAGTACCAGAATCAGGTACCAACATTTGGTATCAAAGCTCTTTTCTGGGAAACAAATAGTGAATGGTGTTGACAAGAAATATGGACCACCGAATGGAGACGTTGGAAGCTAGGGTAGGAGGAACGGAAGAAGGTGTTCGTCGGATTGAAACAAATCTGGCTGAAGTTATGAGAACCCTTCAGGACATAGCTCGAGCTGGGAGACCCGGAGGATCTAACAGTGATGGCAGTGGAAGCCAAGGAGGAAACAACGACAACAACGCGAGAATAGTGAGGAACGAAGAAAGAATGAAAAGGGTGGAGGTCCCTTACTTCTCAAGGGAGGATCCCTACGGTTGGATCTTTAGAGCTGAACGGTACTTCAGGGTCAATCGAATTCCACCAGAGGAACAGTTGGAGACGGCATCGATTTGCTTGGAGGGAGAAGCTTTGAGTTGGTTCCAGTGGTGGGAACCGCGAAACCCATTGGCGGAGTGGTTGATCTTCAGAACGGCAGTGTTACAACGTTTTCATGCATCTCCTTCTGGAAATCCATACGAAGCGTTGATGGAACTGAAGCAATTGGGGACGGTGGCTGAGTTCAGAAAACAGTTCGAAGTGTTGTCCGCTCCGTTAGGACAAGCGGATGAGGAATTAATGCAAGCAGCATTCCTGACTGGGTTGAGACCGGAAATTCGAGCCGAAATTCGCTTGCACTCACCTGGAGATATTGGGGAGATGATGATCTTGGCTCAACGGGTTGAAGAACGCGAAGCTGTGTTAGGAAGGGGAGATGGTGGAGTAGGCCGTACAGGGATTGGGCTTCATAATAGTCATATGGGGGGAAGTAGGCCCGCGTTGGGAAATAAGGGAGGTGGGAGTAGATGGCAACAAAATGGGCCTGTAACATCGGCCCAAAGCCCTACATCCAACACACTTAATACCCAGGTGTCGTCAGCAGCCAGCCACACCCTCGCGAATCCTAATCGCGTTGGGGGGGCTACGAGTGAACTAGGTGCTACTCAACCACCAGGAGCGACAGCCAACGCGTCAGACGGCCGCCGGAGAAACAATTTCCGTCGACTTTCGTCGGAAGAGGAGGCTGATCATAGGCGTCGCAACCTATGTTTCCGTTGTGGAGGACCCTTTGGTCCTGGGCACGTGTGCCCTAACCCACAGTTGCGCGTGATGCTTGTGAGCGACGATGGGGGTGCCGACGGAGATGAAGATCCGATTCAGGAGACAGGGGGCGAGGACCAACTGGAGACCCTTCAACTCAGCATTCAAAGTGTGGTGGGTATCACCTCCAACCGTTCGCTGAAGTTATGGGGGAAGATTCAGGGCCATAAGGTGATGGTGCTCGTGGATACCGGGGCATCTCACAACTTCATTGGGGAGCATGTGGTAGATACAGTGGGGATCCCATCCATGCAATCAAGGTCTTTTCGGGTGGAGGTGGGAGATGGCCACCGAGTCCAAGGTATGGGAGTTTGTCAGGGAGTCACTCTAGTCTTGCCTCATGTGTCAATCATTCAAGACTTCTACATATTCTGTCTTAAGGGGGTGGATGTGGTGCTGGGATTTTCGTGGTTGGAAGGCCTGGGAGACATTCAAGCTAATTTTGGGAAATTATCCTTACGGATTCCATGGAAAGGGAGCATGGTGACCTTGCAAGGCGATCCTGAGTTATCTTATTGTCAGGTCTCTTACAAGAGCATGAATCGCGCATGGAAGAAGAGCACAGAGGGGTATTATATTGAACTGGGGTATTCAGCAATGGAGTTAACTGGTACTCCCGATGAGGATCCTCGGGTTGCAGAGCTTCTACTGCAATATGATGATGTTTTCCAACCCCCCTCAGAACTACCACCTTCTAGAGCATGTGATCACAAAATTCTACTGAAACAGGGGGCAGACACCCCTAATATTAGGCCATATCGTTACCCCTACTATCAGAAGGAAGAAATTGAAAAGTTTGTCAGAGAGATGTTAGTAGTGGGCATGATCAGACCCAGTTGCAGCCCGTATTCAAGTCCCTTAATCTTAGTGAAAAAAAAAGATGGGAGCTGGCGTTTCTGTGTGGACTACAGGGCCTTGAACAAGGTAACTATTCCTGATAAGTTTCCTTTACCTGTTATTGATGAATTGCTTGATGAGTTGCATGGGGCTGAGATTTTCTCCAAGTTAGATTTGAAATCAGGCTATAATCAGATTCGAATGAGGGTAGAAGACATTGAGAAGACCGCATTTCGTACGCATGAGGGCCATTATGAATATCTTGTAATGCCCTTTGGCTTAAGGAATGCCCCTTCTACATTTCAATCACTGATGAATACGGTCTTCAAGCCTTATCTGCGAAAATTCGTCTTGGTTTTTTTTGATGACATCCTGGTGTACAACAACTCTTTAGACCAACATTGTGACCATTTGAAGATAGTGTTGGATGTCTTGAGACAAAATCATTTCGCTGCCAACAAAAAAAAATGCACCTTTGTGGAAAACGAACTCGAATACTTGGGTCATCTTATTTCCAAGGAGGGTGTCAAGGCCGACCACCATAAGTTGGAAGCTATGTCACAATGGCCTACTCCCACAAATGTGAAAGGTCTTCGTGGGTTTTTGGGATTAACGGGATATTACCGGAGGTTTGTGAGACAATATGGTCAGGTTGCACACCCATTGACTCAGCTGCTCAAAAAGGACAGCTTCGTATGGAGTGAGGAGGCTCAATTGTCCTTTGAAGCTCTCAAAGCGGAGATGTTGTTGCTCCCAACATTAGCACTGCCTAACTTTGATGAGACCTTCTTTGTGGAGACAGATGCATCAGGAGTGGGGATGGGGGCTGTATTAATGCAGGCAGGCCGCCCTATAGCATTTCTCAGTAAGGCTTTTTCTGACAAAGATAAAGTACTCTCGGTCTACGAACGGGAGTTAAAAGCTATCGTGTTTGCCGTCTACAAGTGGCGTCACTATTTGTTGGGGCGTCATTTTGTCATTACAACCGATCATAGGAGTCTCAAATATTTGACGGAGCAACGATTAATGGTCGAAGGACAGCAAAAGTGGGTGGCTAAATTGATGGGATATGATTTTGAAATACGTTACAAACCCGGAAAGGAAAATACAGCAGCGGACGCGCTTTCTCGTGTTATGGATTGCAAGGAGCTCACCATGGTCACCAGCCCTGACTTGCAAGGACTGTCTGAAGAGGTCCTTCATGATCCAGTGACAAAAAAAATTTTCACTGATGTCGTACAAAATGCTACTTCTCATCCGGGTTATCAAGTACTCAAAGGAAGTTTATGGTATAAAAACAGGTTAGTTCTCCCTCGATCCTCTCCTCATCTTGCTGCCATTCTCCAGGAGTTTCACTCCTCTCCTTGGGGTGGCCATTCGGGGGAATTGAGGACATTAAAGCGCGTGGCTGGTGTTTTTTTTGGAAGGGAATGCGTCAGGATGTGGCCGCTTTTGTGCGAGCTTGTGCTATTTGTCAACAACAAAAATATGATCATTTGAAGCCTGCTGGGTTGTTACAACCGTTGCCTATTCCTCAACAAGTGTGGGAGGAGTTGTCCATTGACTTTATTGGTGGCCTGCCAGTTTCCAAGGGGACGGATACCATATTGGTGGTGGTGGATAGGCTTTCCAAGTATGCCCACTTCATGACTCTTAAACACCCATATGATGCTCAGACCGTGGCTGCTGTGTTCTTGAGGGAAGTGATTCGGCTGCATGGAATTCCCAAATCCATTGTGTCGGATCGTGACAGAATTTTCATGAGTAAGTTTTGGGGTGAACTCTTTAAACTAACGGGCACTAAATTAAAGTTTAGTTCAGCCTATCATCCCCAAACGGATGGCCAAACCGAGGTTGTCAATCGTACCTTGGAGACTTATTTGCGTTGCTTTGCTAGTGGACATCCCAAGGGGTGGGCTAAGTGGTTGTCTTGGGCTGAATTTTGGTTCAATACAACATATAACAGGTCTATTCAAATGACCCCATTTCGAGCGGTGTATGGTCGTGACCCGCCATCTCTTATTTCTTTTACACCTGGCAGCACAACCGTGGCAGCTGTGGATACATGGTTGTTGGCTAGGGATGCTATTTTGGTGGAACTAAAACAGAATTTGTGTCAAGCACAACAGCGAATGAAGCTGCAGGCTGACAAAGGGAGAAGGGAGGAGAATTATGTGGTTGGTGATACGGTTTTTGTAAAGATCCATCCTTATAAGTTGAGGTCTTTAGCTAGGAGAATTAATCAGAAATTAAGCCCAAGATTTTATGGGCCATTTACAATTTCAGCAAAGATTGGACCTGGTAGTATATGTAACTGAACCAAGAGACTACATAAT